TTTTTGTTTTTCTCAATCATCATGAAACTAGAAAAAAATTGGAAACTTGGAAAAATAAAAAAATAAAAAAATGCTCATAAATGATATTAAACTATGATGAAAGTGATTACTTATTATTTGGATGACTTTTCATTGGGACTTATTGATGATAGTGGTGGTGATGATGATGCTGAGTGGACGATGGTTAAAAATGATCTGAGAAATTATATTTATCATCAGGGCGATGATAACAATTGATTTTCCATCTTTATCATCATCCGTGACCAGAACATTGAGCAAAATAATATCTATGGAATAGTAAAGTGAATTGAAAAGATAGAGAAGATAAAAAAATTGTGAAGAAAGAAAAAGTTGAAACGTTACCATGGTAACTTTAGAGAGAAATATTTTCTCAAAATTTTGATGTTTGCCCTTTAAATTGCTTTTCACTATTATTTCAAAATCAATTCAAAGGCCATGAAGTATTCAGGGAGAGAGAAGTGGGCAATGGAAGCTTGAATGAAAGAATTGATAAAAAAACAGAAAATCCATGTAACTGGAATCATCTTCATCTTCATTGAATGATGATGATGATGAGAAATATTTTTCTTTCACCTTTCTTATTTAGGTCAATTCATGGTAATATTAAATGACTATCAGTATGTTCACTGGGAGGTTGAGGTGATGGAGTGATGAGGATGAGTTTGAGTTTGATGGAAAAAATTTTGGAATGAAAAATAATTTCTCTTCCCATTTTCGCCTTTGAATCCATGCAGACTATTAAAAGCTTTCATCACTCACCCAGTATCCTGATGATGACGATAATGATGAGAAGAAGGAGAAGAAGAAAAAGTTCTCATATGAACAAAAAAGCTAAACTGGAATCAACTGATAGCGGATAATTTTCCTTTCTCAATGTGCATCAAACTTTTTGCTCTTTTCTATCGAAATCCAATTTTTTCTTTCGAAGTTCCAACTTTTATATAATGTTTTACATTATTAATTCTCAATCATTGAAATTTCAAGTTCACATGAAACAACGAACCTCAAAAAATTGGGTCAGAATTACAGGAGAAAGTTCAAAAGGTAAGATTCATGTGGAAATTTTGTTTTCCTGAGTATTATCATCATTGACTTCCTCTTCCTTTTCCTATTTGATCATTATTATCATGATCAAAATTGAAACATTTGACCTGAACAATCAGATAAATGGAAAATATTTAAATCTCTCATGAGTGCATACATTATATTGGAATCATGTGGATATACGTTATTCCATGATCATCATTACCTTTCCAATGATATTTTCATGAGGGTTTGATTTTCGAAAAATATAAGCATCAATCTCACAAAGAAAATGATCTCTTCGAGTAAAAGAATAATTCTCATGATAGAGAAATAAAAATGATCATCATGATGAAATCTAAGAACTGGAACCAAATAAATCTGAATGGTTATCATTTTATACTCATTTCATCCCAATAACTTTCACCTTAATTTGTCTTCCTCATATTGTTTATATTATTTTTGTGAAACTTTCTATTTCTAGATTAGAATAACATTGAATCAATATTATATAAACGAATATAAAATAATTTATTAGCAGAAAACAATGTTGTTAAACTCCTCGAGCAACTGGTCAGTATTGTCCATCCTTAAGTAATCATAATAAAGTTTAACGATGAACCAGAATAGGGTGAGAGATGAGATGTTGATGAATTATAAAAGATTTTCATCTACTCGCATCAATCAATGTTATTTAACATTAGATAATATCATCATCTTCATTATTACAAGAATCAAATAAAATAAACATCAACTCTTCAGGAATCATCATGAAAATTTGCTCAAGATTCAGCTAAACAGAAGATGAGACATTCACATAAGGATTCACATTGAATAATCAGATAATGTTATTATTGTTGACTTTGAATTATCAAGAGGATTTCAAGATGACCCATCCAACAAACATGATAAGAAAGAATCAAAAGAATGGTCAAAATTGACCAATAATATAATTTAGGGTTTCTTTATAACGATCAAAAAACAAAAGAATTGAAAAATTTACTCAGAAAAGTAAAAACAATGACCATTGTCCACTCTTTTCCTCTCTCTTTCTTTAAAAAAAATAAGATAATAAATAACAAGAATTTCGTTCTTTTGATGATAAATGATCAATGACCTACAATATTAGTGATCAAATAATTTCTCAATTCCAAATAAACGATGTATCAGTTTATCTCTCTTTCTTTCTCTCTCTCTCTCTCTCTCTCTCTCTCTCTCTCTCTCTCTCTCTCTCTCTCATCAGCATCGTCATCATCTTCTTGTTAATCATCATCACAATTTACAGAATCTTTTTTCGTTTTTGAGGCTTAGATTTTTGCCTATTCCTTTTTAGTACAAAATTCCCCTGAGCTAAACAAGAAAAATGGACAGCGTTTACTCAATTCTCCCCATTCTTATTCTTATCTCTCTTTCTTGACCATTGGTCATCAGGATAAGCTTGAGAACATGAAGTGTCTCAAGATTGATTTTTTATATGTTGCAGTTTAAAACATGGTAAGAGCATCTATCTCATCCTCTACCCACCACTTCATTTGCCCATTAACTTTAACTTAATCAGTAGATTTGAAAATGTTGTTGGGCTGAAACAGGCAGTTTGCTTTGAATAATTTATTAACTATCTAATATTATTCATGCATTTTCTTGCAATTGTTTTAATGCATGTGAGATACATTCACAAGATGAACGATAACAATAAAATGGTTCATCGGTTTCGAATCATGAATTATTTCTACCATGCACCAATGCATGAATGAATTGTTCTTGATGGAACATGGTGATAAAATTCAATATGTTCGTGCTTATTCATTGATTGAATAACTTTACTGAATCAAAATCAGTATAAAAAGGATGATGATTGATCAATGAAATCATAAGTTCATATAACTTCCATACAACAACTTCAATCATCAAAAGTGAAAAGTTTCAAAGTTCTGATTCCATTAAGTGAGTTTATCCAATATTGAATATTTTAGTTAATCTAAAATATAAGTTATATTAACGCCATTTTCTTTTTGTTTTCTTCTTTTTAAATAGAATTGAAAATGTCAACAAAAATTGTTAAAGCAAAATCAAAGAAAACCCATGATGAATCTCCAACATTGAACTTGGATGGCGCCATGAAAAAATTATCGAAGAAAAAACCCGAGTCAACTAAACAACATGAAGTAAATGAACTAACTCTGAGTGAATCAGAAGATGAATCAACAATCTCATTGAATTCAGCGGCAGCAGCAAGAGGTTTGGATACTCAAAGCAACGCTTCGAATGGGGAATCGAGTAAGAAAAGGAAATTGGAATGGGAGCCAATTAAAATTGACCTCACCAACGTTCCTGGAAATCGAACAATTGTTGCTCCTGATGAAAGTTTGCAGGGTGATAAGTTTATTGTATCTGACAACTTGGTATTCTTCACAGATCGTTCGAATTGTGGTGGAAGAGTATGCAAAATTCGGAAGTTTTGGTTCAAAAACAATCAAGTTGAAGCTTCAAGTTCTGGTGGAGAGTTTTTTTACTCAGATATACCAAAATTCATTGCTCACTTGCAAAAAGTATACGCAAAATCGTTACAAAAATGATCATATTTGAAATATACGAATCCCATTTGAAAAATCTGAATGAATAATCTTTGAATACAATAATCAATAAATATATAAGCTTGCAAATTTGAATGACAATTATCTTTAATTCATTTAATGATGTATATTTGATGTATTGAATTCCATGATTTGTATATTTTGACTCGATATCTCATCTAATGAATGAATTGAACTTTTTACTTTGTTCATGAATCAAAGTTGTGATTTTCAATGTGTGAATCAACAAGTTTGATTAACTTCTGTGTCTGTACTTTGGAGATTGAGATGTTGATAATTTTGACTCGATATCTCATCTAATGAATGAATTGAACTTTTTACTTTGTTCATGAATCAAAGTTGTGATTTTCAATGTGTGAATCAACAAGTTTGATTAACTTCTGTGTCTGTACTTTGGAGATTGAGATGTTGATAATTTTGACTCGATATCTCATCTAATGAATGAATTGAACTTTTTACTTTGTTCATGAATCAAAGTTGTGATTTTCAATGTGAATCAACAAGTTTGATTAACTTCTGTGTCTGTACTTTGGAGATTGAGATGTTGATAATTTTGACTCGATATCTCATCTAATGAATGAATTGAACTTTTACTTTGTTCATGAATCAAAGTTGTGATTTTCAATGTGAATCAACAAGTTTGATTAACTTCTGTGTCTGTACTTTGGAGATTGAGATGTTGATAATTTTGACTCGATATCTCATCTAATGAATGAATTGAACTTTTTACTTTGTTCATGAATCAAAGTTGTGATTTTCAATGTGTGAATCAACAAGTTTGATTAACTTCTGTGTCTGTACTTTGAGATTGAGATGTTGATAATTTTGACTCGATATCTCATCTAATGAATGAATTGAACTTTTTACTTTGTTCATGAATCAAAGTTGTGATTTTCAATGTGTGAATCAACAAGTTTGATTAACTTCTGTGTCTGTACTTTGGAGATTGAGATGTTGATAATTTTGACTCGATATCTCATCTAATGAATGAATTGAACTTTTTACTTTGTTCATGAATCAAAGTTGTGATTTTCAATGTGTGAATCAACAAGTTTGATTAACTTCTGTGTCTGTACTTTGGAGATTGAGATGTTGATAATTTTGACTCGATATCTCATCTAATGAATGAATTGAACTTTTTACTTTGTTCATGAATCAAAGTTGTGATTTTCAATGTGTGAATTAATGTTCATTGTACTCTGATCAACAAGGTCGCTAATATATTAGCATTCCTAGTCACCGAATGAATAATGAAAGTATACTAGACATATTTTCAATAGTAATTATATAAATTTTATTTAATAAGAAATAAGAAGAATGTTAAACGGAGTCAATCAATACAATGATGTTGGTGAACAATTTCTAATTACGACCGGTAGAGCCAAATCCAGAAGCATCTCGTGAAGTTCCAGCTGGCATTTCATCTGTTTCATCCAATTGACTTGAATAAGATTTGAAATGAACCTGAGCGATTGGTATTCCTTCAACAATGGTGTATACATGATTATTGCGATTATGGAATATAATATTGATTTCCTTGGTAGAATTTTTTTTGATTATTGTATCAATAACATCAACGCCATAGTCAGCGAGTAATTTTGATCCAATCAGATGAGCATATATACCATCAGGCATAGACAATCCAATTTTAGTTGAATAAACAACTCTTTCATTAGGTTCAATGAAAAGATCTCGGTCTGAATAGAAGTAAAATTTGGATACTCCATCAGATGGTTTAGCCATGTGCACTGTGATTTTCTCAACTGTTTTTAAAACGTTTTCTTCATCATCACCTTCTTTGGAATCAGAATCCGTCTTTGTTCTTTTAACAGTTAGTGGAATATCACAATGAGATTCAACATTTTTAAAATGTTTGAATATTAAAACCTCTTTAGGTTCATGGTAAGGTTCGAAAATTATTTGTGAGAATCTCTCACCCTGATTTATTGTTTGAACAACATTGTTATTATTGATGATCAAAACTTTGACTTCCCCATGGAAATCAGGATCAATAACACCAGCTCCGACATCCAGACCTCGCAAGGCAAATGAACTTCTAGAAGCGATTCTACCATAAACACCTTTTGGCATATCGAATGCGAGTCCAGTACCAATCAGCTCTCTAGACCAGGGTTCGATTTTTTTTGATTCGATTGCGTATAAGTCCCATCCAGCAGCGTTTACCGTTGAACGTCTTGGAATTTTAGCCAATGAATTCAGCTTATAGAAAGCAATAGCAGAACTTGAAAAACTCATGTTGAAACTTTTCACGGATAGTGATAGAATAGTGTAATGTTGATGATGATAAACTTGACTGATGAATGTTATTTTTTTCAATCACTTTATATACAACTTCTAAGATCTTCCTACTTTTTATCTTCCACCCCTTTTCACTGAAATATCATTATATTATCATTTTTTTGAATACTAATCATTGTAGTTAATAGTTTGATCTAAATGATAAACTTGGTTGAATGATTGAAACATTTTAACAACAAAATAGACTAATTTAAATTAATTTCAAGTAATCAGTTATTACAATTAACTCTTTCGTGTATATAAACTCATGACAAAAATTATTGATTATTTTAAAATTGTAAATAGCTATTTCATGCATGTCTTATAGATTCAGATCAGATAAATATTTTGAGATTTTATCCTAATTATAACACTTTTATATTGCCTTATGCAAATTATAGCAAATTGTGAATATTATTCAATGAATCATGTTAAGATTTAATCTACTTATTGCTACTTGATTCCTACTTTAGATAAAATGTACAGAAAATCGTAATTACACCTTGTATTAGATATTAGGTGATACTTTGATAATTGTTTTCAAAAATCTTATGTGAACGTGAGCTTAATAATCTAATAGAACAATCTTGAATTCTTGATATACAAAAATTATTGTTGATTTTATCAACTTTGATGATTAATCCATAAGATATAATTGTGTTTCAAAGAAAAAGATATAAAATCATAACTAACTTTCCAATTTCATTCAGTCTGAGCTCAACTGAAGTGATTTCAACATGACAACTACTGTTTCAAGGTGTGTTCACTGTAATAGAAAGTTTAAAAAACAAATCAATCTTAAATTTCATCAACAGTTATGTGCAAGTGTACAAGTGTCAATCTCAAGGAACCTCAATGTACAATTACCTGGTGAATTTCTCATGAAAAAACAAGCTTTTTATAAATCTCTAAATGTTTATTATAAAAAATTCAATGAAAACTTTTTTGATATTGAAACTGTCTTGAAAACAGAAAGTGGAAATTTAAAACAATTGCTGACAACATTTTTAAAAAGTCTTGGAATGTTAAAAGTTCAAATTGGTTTAAGTTGTGAGTTTTATCGATATGATGGTTTTGATATTGTTTGGATCGATCCAATGTTTAATTCTAGTTTGAAACCATTAACATCCATCGATTTGTACAATCATTTTCTTGATGAGTGTTATTTCGAAATATCATTGGATTTTGATTCATTTAACCAGAAAGGAAGTGGTTGGATATTGAACAAAGTGAAATCGCTCGAGGTGCGCATAGGAAAGTATATTCCATATCGTGGTGGGTGTAAAAAGAAACAATTACCTCCATTCATACTATCGAAGAGAGCAATAATTCAACTTGATTCATCCGTTGATTGTTTCATGTGGTCTGTCATAGCAGCTGTTCATCCAGTTCAGAAAAACGCTTGTCGATTATCTCACTATAAAAAATATCAACAACAATATAATTTTGATGGATATAAAGGCTATGTCAAGCTTGATCGTATTAAATTTTTCGAAAAGAAAAACTCTATTTCAGTAAATGTCTACACATTCACTGTTAATAAGAAAAAATTTCTTCCAATACCATTATACGTCTCTAAAGAACGTCTTGAACAACATGCGAACTTATTACTGTATGATGAACATTACTGGCCAATCAGAAATTTCAACCGTTTCATCGGTTCTAAAGATTCTAGATATCACAATTTTTGTGAAAACTGTTTTACCGGATTTTTGACTTCACAAAAGTGTTCTGCACATACGAAAGACTGTTACCAATTTAAACCATCTAGAGTTGAAACACCACCAGTCAATACAAAGATTTTTTTTACACAGTTTGAAAAAATGATAAAATATCCATTCATAATATATGCGGATTTCGAGACTTTATGTCAACCCGTTGATTCTGGAGAAAATCGAAATACTTTCGAGTATCAGGAGCACATTCCATCCAGTTTTGGATATGTTATTGTGAATAACAATGGTAAAATTCTCAAATATGAATCTCATCGTGGTGCTGATAGTGGATTAGTTTTCTTACAATCTCTGAATAAGTCATGTGAAAAAATTCTTAATGCATTGAAAAATAGATTTTCTCAACTTAGAATGTCTACTGGAGATCAAAAACTTTTTGATGAATCAACTCAGTGTCATATTTGTGAAAATGATTTCAATATTGATGATGTTAAAGTAAGAGATCATGATCATTTCACTGGGTTATATAGAGGTGCTGCTCATGACTTGTGTAATCTTCAAATGAAGGTACCAGTTGATATTCCAGTAGTTTTTCATAATCTCAAGAACTTCGATGCTCATATTTTGATAAAAGCTATTCAAGATAGAATGTATGACCATATAAACATTATTCCTCAGAACACAGAAAAATATATTTCATTTTCATTTGATAAACTTAAATTTATAGACAGTTACGCCTTTTTAAGTGGATCTTTAGATGTACTTGCTCAAGATTTAGGAGAAGCGTTTAAAAATTCATTTTTGCTGCAAGTATTCAAAGATGAGGATATTAACTTTGTATCAGCTAAGGCATCACTTCCATATGACTATCTGGATAGTTTTGACCGATTTAACGAGATTGAGTTACCTCCATATGAATGCTTTTATAACAAATTGAAAAGAGAGAATATTGAAAAAAATGTTTATCAGAATATGGTTAATCTTTGGAATCATTTTCATGTTAAAAATATGGGCGAGTTTCAAGATATTTATCAAAAAATTGATGTTATTCTTCTAGCTGCTGTTTTCGAGAATTTTCGCAGTATAAGTATTGAACAGTTTAAACTAGATCCTCCTCACTTCTATTCAGCACCAGGATTGAGTTGGGCTGCAGCTTTAAAATCAACAAAGGTAAAAATCGATTTACTTACTGACATTGACATGATTATGCTCTTTGAAAGAGGTATCAGAGGAGGAATTTCATCTGCTTCAAAAAGATATGAGAAAGCTAATATACCTGATACATCGGATTTTATATCAAATGAAAAACCAAAGTTTATTACATATCTCGATGTTAACAATCTGTATGGTTACGCTCTACAACAAGCTCTTCCAATGTCTGATTTCAAGTTCGTAGATAATGTAGAGTTTGATAGTGTGTATCAATTATGTATAAATGAAAAAAACCCGAATTCAGATATTGGTTATGTTTTTGAAGTTGATTTGGATTATCCGTCACATTTACATGATCTTCATAAAGATTATCCATTGGCTCCAGATAGAGTTACAATTGATCAACATCATTTAAGTAAACTCCAGCTTTCGATATTAGAAACAACTGAAAGACCACGAACTAAGTGTGAAAAACTTATTGCGACATTTTTCAAAAGAGAAAAGTATGTTATTCATCAACGTAACCTTCAATTCTATGTCAAACATGGATTAATTGTTACAAAAATTCATCGTATTGTCTCTTTTAAACAATCCTGTTGGCTCAAAGACTATATAATGCTCTGCACTCGTAAGAGAATGGTTAGTAAATCGAATTTCGAAAAGAATTTTTGGAAACTGTTGGTAAATGCCATATATGGTAAATCAATTGAAGATGTTCGTAAGCATTCGGAAATAAAACTAGAAACATCTCTAGATGGAGCAATGAAACAAATGCAAAAGCCTCTCGTTGAACGGTTTTTCATTTTAGATGAACATAAAGCACTTTTCAAGATGAGGAGAAAATCAGTGCTCTTGAATAAACCAATCTTCGCTGGATTTACTGTTCTGGAAATTTCTAAGCTACATATGTACCAACTCCATTATGAAATCTTTAAAGTATATTATGGAGATAATATTGAACTTCTTTATACTGACACTGATAGCTTCATATATTCTATCAAAACAAATAATCTTTATAATGACTTCAATTATTTATCTGATATATTTGATTTTTCTGATTATCCGAGTGAACATCAAAGTGGTCTTAAGAATGATAATCATAAAAAAAAGCTGGGTTATCTCAAAGATGAAATGAACGGGAAAAATATATTAGAGTTCATTGCTCTCAAATCAAAAGTGTACTGTTTGAAAACTGATGAAACAGTTAAAAAAACAGCAAAAGGAGTACAAAAAGCTGTTCTCAAAAAAATGATCACATTCGACGATTACAAAACCTCTTTAGACTCACACAATTTACTTTATCATGAAATGCGTTCTCTAAGAAGTTTCCAGCATAACATCAAATCAATTCAATCGAGAAAACTGGCTCTAAATCCGTTTGATGATAAACGTTATTTATTGGAAAATGGTGTCGATACATTACCATTCGGACATTATTCAACCACTTAATATTCAAGTGATATACATCTTAATAACTGTTTAAGAAACCTGTTTTTTTCTGGAAATTTTCATATAAGAACAAAGTTTCAACAAGAAATTGTTCATTTTTCATTGAAATCTTTAAAGTGTAACATTGAAAAGACTTCGATTTTATGTGAATTCAACCATTAACCATTATCCAACTATCTATGTTAACTACTTTTGATGAATGTGATTACCCTGAAGTTTGTAATATCGTAACCTTGTGGAATCTAAATAAAAAAATTCAAATTATTGGTAATTCTGGAAAAAAGAAAAAGTTTAACGCGGACATATATAAATCAGGAAAGAATAGACTATTGGTTTTCGGATCTGGTAAAGTGATTGCCACTGGTTTTAAAACGGAACAAGATACTCGTGAGTTTATCACAAAGACTTTCAAAGAAGTTCAATTTCTGAAAATCGTCAATATTACTGCAAGTAAAAAACTAAAAACAGTAATTAGTGCTAAAAGTATTTTCGAAAGTGATTTGAATGTTATTTATGAACCAGAACTATTTCCCGCATTGAATTGGAAAGACGAAGGGGTTTCATTTATTTACTATCCAAAAGGTTCACTCATCCTGACAGGAATAAAATCATTGGATCAATTAAAGAAAGCGTATCGTTCATTCGAAAATCGATTTTGTCTAAAGAATTAAGATGATTTCTAACATATGTGCCTTCATGGATGTTCAGGGATATTATTATAATCATAAATTTTATCCTAGAGAGATAGCCGTTCTTGCAGATGATGCTTTGATTTGTTTGAATGTATTTACAGGATTACAACTGAAAATGCTTAATGAATCTGAAAAAAAACAAGCAGCATACAACTATAAGTTCACACATGGTTTGAAATTCGAGACAGATGATACACATATGCATATTGATCAGTTACTCATATTTCTAAAATTATTTTATAAAGCAAGAGTTGATTGTGATAGATTTTAATTGCATGTAAATCAAAAGAAGCGGAAGATGTACTTGTGATGCAATGATTCCAAGAATCAATCTCAACAATTTTGGTGCAACATGGTCCATGATCAAACAAGAAACACAACCCTGTCCTCTCCATAACGGAAATTCAATGATGAAATGTTCATTAAATATTGTTCTTTTTTTGAAAACCTGGACTGAAACACAAAAAAAATTCAAAAATACTATGATTTGAAAAATGTATAAGAACTATAAGAACAATCTTTACCTTTCTTTTATAAAGTATTCATAAAAATGGAAAATTACAACATATATTTGAGACATCCTTTTACAATGGTGATATCTGGTCCGACAAGTTCTGGAAAGACATATTGGTTAAGTAAATTAATTGAAGGATCAGTGAAATTTTCTCACCCAGAACCCAAAAATATAACATATTTTTTCAGTGAATATCAAGAAGTTTTCAATACAATGCCAGAAGTGAACTTTATTCAGGGATTTTCAGAAAAGTTATTGAATAAAATTGATGGAAGTAAACCACAATGGATTATAATTGATGATTTAATGCATGAAACAGTGAATAGTAGGATCATTTCAGAGCTCTTTACAAAAGGAAGTCATCATCGAAATTTATCTGTAATTTTAGTTATGCAAAACTTTTTCATAAAAGGAAATGAAATTTGTAATATTACTCTGAACGCTCATTACATAGTTTTATTCAAAAACCCAAGGAATAAAGCTATTGCAACTAGCATAGGACGTCAAATATATCCAACATCAGTACGAAAGTTTCAAGCTGTATTTGAAGATGCAACTGCGCAGCCTTTTACATATTTGTTTTTGGATATGAAAATAGACACACCTGAAGAAGTAAGAATGTTATCGAATGTACTACATGAAAAAGAATACATAACAGCTTATCAGATATAGTTTATATAAGATAAAATTTATGTTTCATTTTATATCTTTTATATCTATTAATTTTTTGATTTCAAAATGACGGTCTCTGATGCATTAGAGATGTTACCTCATCTAAAAAAACTCTGTAAAAAAAATTCGAAAAGAAAAAGACAAACCATAATCGCTAGATGTCCAGGAAAAGTCTATAAAACAATAAATGAAATATCTAGAAATCTGCTCGCAGGTAATATAAGACTTGATAAAAAACAATTGAAAAGGATTAAACCACATAAAAAAATTGTTAGGAGATTAGCTCAAAACAAATCTATTAAAAACACTAAAAAAATTATAATACAACACGGTGGAGCCCTACCAGCGTTACTTTTACCTGCAATTTCATTACTCGCAAGCGTATTCACAGATAAATTAATGAAATGAATGCATTTACAAAAATGGTTTTGATCTCTGAAGATGAATATAAAAACAAATGTCAGTTAATGAATACTAGTCTCATGAGAACAATAATGTCTATGAATTTAGATAATGCTGCAAAAGTTAGATTTGCTAATAATCTTTTACTGCAAAATATATCAAAAACACCAATAGAACAGCAAAAACCACTCAATTTAGAAGTGGATGAAGATCTTGAGAATCGTAATCGATCACTGGTTTGGTCTGAAAATTCTGATGATCAAAAGTTTCAAAGTATACCCAATAATACAACAGAGTTTCATCAACAAACAGAAAAAATGAATGGGTCTGATAAGTTAATGTCAACCCCTCGTATTTCTCATGAAAACAAAGGTCTAGCAGATACAACAATCTCTTCGTTTACACAAAGGTCTAAAGCGAGTGAATTAGAAAAGGCTTTACGTGAAATCCCTTCTTTAGTAACAGAAGATGGGAAAGTACTACGAGTTAATGGAAGTGAATATCATAATAGTAATATCAGAAAAATTGTGAATTTTCTCTGTTTATTTAAGACTACACAAGCTAAAAAGATGATTACACCGATAGGTACAGAACGAGTAATACAGGAAATAGAAAAACTACCTTATCTTTTTAATCAGGTGAATAACACTCCTGCTTTAAGACGGTTTGGTGATAAAGGAAAATCATATGAAACATGGAGACAGATTTCGAGAATGAATACTTCTCCATTGAAAGAGTGGGAGCTTTAGGAGGAGTATATAGATTATATAGAGCATTAAAAAAGAAGTATCCAAGCCTATCATATCTAAAAGTTAAATCATGGTTAGAAAAACAGAATGCATACAATTTATTCAAACAAGTCAAACGTAAATTCATAAGGTTGCCAATTATCGTTACATCAATAGACGAACAATGGCAGATTGATTTGATGGATTTATCCTGGCTACAAAAATCGAATAATGGTTATAAATATTTGATAAATGCAATAGATTGTTTAAGTAGATATGCATGGTCTGTTCCATTACAATCTAAATCTAGTGATGAAGTCATAAAAGGACTAGTGAAAATATTTTCTTCTGGGAGGGTACCAAATAAAATACAAACCGATCAAGGGATGGAATTCAAAAATAGGAAAGTTCAAGTGTTCTTGAAAGAGAAAGGGATATTTTATTTTACAACTACAGATGATTCTGTAAAATGTGCAATAGTGGAACGTTTTAATAGAACATTGAGAATGAGATTATATAGATATTTGTTCTATAAAAATACACACAAGTATTATGATATCCTTGACAGTTTAGTAAAAAGTTATAATGACTCATACCATAGAACTATTCAGATGGCGCCCTCTGATGTGAATGAAGAAACTCGTTCACAGGTAATATTTAATATAAGAAAAACTCATAAAACTTTAAAAAGACTACAAAAACCATATACGATAGGAGAAAAAGTGCGTATAAGTAGACATAAAAAACTTTTTGAGAAAGGTGCAACAAGCAATTTCAGTGAAGAAATTTTTGAAATTATCAAAGTTAAGAAAACAGATCAAGGTTACATTTATCGATTGAAAGATACAGCTGGGGAAACTATAACTTCTTTATTCTATCACTACGAACTCACACCTGCAATACTTAGTGATCTATTCAACATTGAAGTTCTTAGAACTCGGATAAATAAAAGAACAAAAAAGAAAGAATATTTTGTGCGGTGGATTGGATATCCAGACAAGTTCAATAGTTGGGTAGAAAATGTGGAATCAACCTGATGAATATTTCCTGGAAGTAGTTTCCAACTCTTCTATGGAACATTTTCCTGAAAATACTCTAGCAAAATTCTCGAATAAACTCCCTTATCCAATACAATTGGATGGAGAATGGGTAGTTGCTATTCAAGAAATATTCTATCCAGTTGATGTTAAACCGTCTAAACGTAATTTGACAGTTCAGTTGTTAACTCATGGTTTGACAGATAAATTAAGTAAAGAAATTGAAATTGACTCTAGTGATGATTTGAATATGATTATCTCAACAATCAACAAGGCTTTTATGAGTTTATTTTTTTCAGTTATTAATGAGACAGATGTCAAAGAAGGAAAAGTCAAAAGATCAACTGATGATAATTTTGTAAATCCTGATCTATCTACATTGACTCTAGAAAAGTTGAATCTATTACCCCAACAGGAAAGAGAAAGTTTGTTGCAAAGAGTTAAAAAAACAACTCAAATGATCCTTGAAAACTTGAAGAAAGAGATGTACAAATACAAACTTGAGTCAACTGATAAACAGGAAAAGATAAATAAACTGAATTCTTCATTAAGACAATATGTAGATGAAGTTGCTGAACTCAAAAAAGAGATTAAACAAAAACAGTTGAAAGATAAAGATTTGATAAAAGAGTCTCATCAAAACAAACAGCTTATAGAAGATAAAAATAGTCTTATCAAGCAATTGGAAGGTCGGATTGATGATCTTCATAAGAAAAATGAAGAGAATAAAAATATGGTTAAAACAGTTAAAAGTGAAAATCAACTTTTGGATGGAACGATTGCGCAAAAAAGTAAAGAAATGTATAAACTTACTGAAGAATATAAAACACAAAACAAAAATCTTTCTGATAAATTGGAAAAACTTCTACATGAAAAGATAATAATACAAAAAAATTCAAATGGTGATACTAAAGTCGTTGATGAAATCAAAAAATTAAATGATGAGATTGTTAAGTTAACTGAGGAAAAACAGAAAGCTGAACTTGATTTTAAGAATCAAAAAAGTCAAACAAATGTGCAAATAAATGAATTAACACTCAAATATAATTCATGTAAGCAAACTGAACACATTCTGGAATCAAATCTGAAGAGTCAACAACAAGACAATCTTGATCAAATAAAAAAATCACAACAGGAAATTAATACTTTGAAAAGTGAAAGATCTAAATTGAAAGAAGAACTCACAACAATGACTTTTGAACGTAGTCAATTGCAAAGTGAAATTATGCGTCTACAAGAAAAAGAAGTCGATTTTCTATCACAATTACAACATGAAAAAGAAAAGACATCTAAATTACAACAGGATACTGAAAATAACTTGAAGGAGCTTGAATTAGAAAGGCAAAAACTACAGAATCAAGAAAATCTACTTTTAAAGCGTTTGTCTGAGTTAGGTATTGTTTTAAAAGATAAAAAGGGTGAAGCAATAATTAATGTAGATGATACAATGACAGTACCTGGTATAACTCATCATGATGGAAAAATAATTGTGTTTCCAGGTCGACATAAGGATCGTATTTTCACACCATACTTTTCAGATGTCAACTTCATTTCTTCTTTAGGTTTTGATGCAAATAGCTATTTGAATATGATAGAAGCTTTCAATAGAGATCAAAGAGCTTTTACAGCTCCTAAAAATTGTAATTTAAACTTTCGATCTCATCTCATGTTCATTCATTCAGATATAGTAGAGGAACATTTTGTTGGTAATAAGTCTGCTAGAGTAATGCGAGTAGTGCCTATTAAATATGGTGTTCAATCAGAAATGGTTCATGAAAAATTCTTAAAACCATTCTATTATCCAGTCAGATCTAATCGAATTGAAGATATCAACTTTGTTCTTTCTGATGAAATGGGTGAACCAGTGAAATTCAACTCTGGACGAGTGTTAGTAGGATTACATATTAAACGAAATTAATTGTATAAGAAATAGTCTAAAATTTTGATTATAAGAATAAAGATGCTTCGTAAAGTTTACTGTGCTTGTGATTCTGATTTCACAAACTATTATAATTCACAAATCGGTTCTGGCTTTTCAGATATTACCGTTTTCCGTGGTAGTCCATATCAAAGAGGATATGGATTCGGTAGTTTATTCAGAAGGTTTGGTATTCCAGTTCTGAAGTTTTTAGGAAAACATGTTTTAAAAACTGGAGTTGATATAGGTCAAGATGTTTTAGATAATAAAAACATTAAAGATTCAATAAAATCTAGAGCTGTAATAGGTATGAAAGAAGCTGCTGGAGATTCTCTGACTAAACTTTCAAAGTTAGTTCAACAAGGTAAAGGAATAAAACGTAAACAGTATAAGAAAAGTACTAAACAACGAAAAATTAAGAAAGATATTTTCTCTTAAAATGGAATACCTACATCCATCTTCTCTACCAGCTAATAAAAGTGAGCTCGATATATTTAATGTACCACCAACTCAAGTTGCTATTGATTCAGTATATGAAACTGATTATCGTCCTGCGGCAAGTTTAGAATCTTCACGAACATATGAATTGATAATTCCAGCATCGGAAGATTTTACAGATCTTAGTGCAACAATGTTACATATGAATATCAATATATTAAAAGGAGATAGTAAGGTTGTTAATACAACCAATTTGGTGAAGCTAGTTTCTAATTTTGGAAATGCATTATTTGAACAGATTGATTTATTTTTAGGTTCAACTAATACTTCACTTGCTAATAACATGTATCATTATCAAGCTTACATCGAAGACTTATTGTATAGATATCCAACTAATATCGATGAATCATTTATCAAAAATGCAACTATTGTTAGCGAGGACAAGACATATGAATTATACTACAGATTACATCTTCCCCTCTGTTTGCAAGATAAACTTTTAATAAATGGAATACCCTTAGTGTTTAGATTTACAAGAAGTCAATCTACATTTCCACTTATTAGAATGAAAGACGGAGATAAAGAAAATTACTCAATTCACATTTCAAATTTTACATTACATTTAACACGTGTTAAGCTATTTCCTGATGCACATGCAACAATTATACATACTCTTGAAACTCATCCAGCAAAGTATTTCATAACTAGAGCGGATACAAAAAGTTTTACTATTCCTTCTGGTGTTTCAACAATGACAATAGAAAATTTATTTGTTGGACAATTACCAAAACGAATTATAATAGGTTGTGTTAAAGAGGAAGCTCTTAACGGTGATATCAACCACAATCCATTCAATTTTGAAAATTTTAACATCAATCATATTTGTCTGAATATTGATGGTGTAATTTACCCAAGTATTCCTTACAAACCAGATTTCAATAAAGGGAATTGTATGAGAGAGTATTTAAGTCTATACAAAGCTCTTAATCAAGATGAAGGAATCCCTCAAATAGAATTGACTTATGAACAATATAAGAATGGAAATGTTCTATTTGCATTCGATATCGGTGGACCTCTTGGTGCAGAAAGTGGTGTTTTATCACTTATAAAACGAGGAAAAATTAGACTGGAAATTAGGTTTGATAAAAGCATAACATCTTCTATAAAAGCTATCGTTTTCGGTCAATTTGACAACCTTATTACTATCGATAAAGATCGACAAGTGACGATTGACTATTAAAATGTTGACTAATATTGAAATAAATTTGAAGCTTAAAGATATTAAATGGTTCGGTGGTGTATTTCCTATTGATCGTTTGCCTGTTACATTTAAAAAACCGAAAGGTTTCATCATAAATACAGATCCTAATTATAAAATCGGTACTCATTGGACTGCAGTTTATTTCACAAGACAGGGAACTGCATTATTTTTTGATTCTTTCGGAAGAGAACCTGAAGATGGTATTTTATCTTTTTTAGAAAGAAATGCAACTAGAGGATTCACATATTCAAAAGAAAAATATCAAGGAAACCAATCATCAGCATGTGGATATTTCTGTATTCTATTCATTATATTAGCAAATCACCCGAATCATTTTTTCAAGTTATTCAAAAAATGTAAATTTATCATAAATGAACGTCGATTGAAATATGTACTAAAAAACTATTTGACATAAAAAAAATCTCAAAAAAAGTGACTGCATGTATTAGCTCATTTTCTTTACTAATATTCAAAAATGGGCTAGAGCATGCAGTTTTTTACTACTATCACATGTAACCCGAAATAAATTTCATGATAAAATTCAGAGAACTAAAAATATTCTCTACAACTTTTAAAGTGGAGATAAAGTTCATTTTTCTCTATTCATTCCATGAGTTATCTTCTTTATCTCCATCTCCATCTTCATCTTCATCTTTTTTCTTTTTTCTCTTTGTTTCTTTTCATCATTTATCTTCATCTCTATCTACATGTCCTCCTCCTCCTCATTCTACTAAACTTTTATCTCCCACCCCTGGTTTCTAGGTCATTTCAATTCATCAGCTGATATCATCATGAACAATAATCACCATGATTATTACATATTTAACTTAGTTAACTGTAATTAGCTGAGCTTTTTGTGTGTGTCAACTCACAATTCAAACAATTGAACAACAATCAACATTAATCATGAAAAATTTAATTGTCAGGATGCAAAAAAAAGCAAACTATTTAAATGGAATCATCAACTATTCAGATGATGATGATATCATTTTATTATCATTAACAATTCAATTCAGTTACAGAATTTTAATATTTGAATTTTTTTTTTCGTCTCTTCAACTTTTGCCTTTTTCCCACTGAGTAAACATTCAAATGATAATAATACACTTGGAGGATAAAATTAATAATGATCCTGATGAAGATGAAAAAATTTCACTATTATTAACATTACATATAATCAATACATGTATCATGATGAACATGGGAAAAGATGAAACTTTTGATGAACGATTTTGTCTCATTAGTTATGGTATTGTTACAACATCGATGAAATAAGTTCTGAGGTCAATTTAATTGAATTCAATTGAAAGTATTTATATTTAGATTAGATATTAAATTGTATGATTAGTAGATGATGAGGATGAACGAAAAAAAAAGTCATGTCTCACTTTTGATTATGAGAAATTGAAATCGAAAATGTCAACTTAATTTCTTCAACTTTATCGAGTGGACATAAGGTTATTCATGTCCATCTTTATCAATAATTCATGATCTTCCCATGAAGAGTGAAATCAAACTGAACCTGAGTAATACAAGAAATCAAGTGAAGAAAAAAAAATGTCAAAAGTTGTTTATATTCATAAAAGTGAATCAACTAAAGTAATTGATTATCCTCATCCAATCAGATTTCAATATTTTCACCATGAACCTCAACTTCAATTCATGGTAATAACATCATATCAATATTATAATAATTGGTATAAAGATAGAATCTGATTAGAAACTTAGTGAATCTCATAATCATGCTAATATCAATCATGGATGAACATTGGATAGGATTCATTTTAATATCAATTCTCAGATCAATGAACTTTTCCACTTCCATCAGGATAATATCAATGCACTTCAATATCTTGATATGATAAACTTGACCCTATTCTCTATGATTCAGTTGGAATCTTAATTTTAGAAGTAGAAGAAAAAATGATCTCTTATTCAAAAGCTTGATTCATTTTCCCTCCATGATAATTAGAGTGGTGGTTAACATACATTGATTCACCACAACGGTTTCTTATCATGAAAAAAAGACACGATTACATGTCTGTATATTAGATTAAGGTTGATTTTCAATGGGACATTATTCATAATATGATATATATATTGATCATAAGATCAACATCATCTGATAATCAAGTAAGAACCAAGATTCATGTTCATGAATCAACTTGAATCTTTGGGTTTATATGTTTGTCTCTTACCTTTGATATAAGCTTAAAGGCTTGAGGGACAATCAAGTGTAAGATGAAACAGTTTTTGTTGTTGTTTCATCTTCATTCTGACAAGATGAATGTTATCAATTCCCAATGAAATTTCATTCTGAATACTTTTCTTATCCTTTATGTTCAAGATGATATCTTAGTGAATCGTGATGGTGATCATGATGAAGATAAAGATAAAGATAAAGATGAAGATGATAAAAGATACAAAACGTCAGTAAGTAAAGTGACATATAAACTTATAAGTCGTTACAACGATCATGATATTGAGAAGATGATGATGGATAAGTAAAAGTTTTTATGTCTCTTTATCTTCATCGTCATTATTGCTCATGAAAACGATAAAGAAGACGAGTAAAACGATGATGGATTTTGTCTCCTTTTTCATCTTTCACACTCTATTATGATAGATTAATATACTCATATGAGAGACTTTGAACTTCCGTTCTTGACCTCGACTTGTTTACTTTTTTCGTTTCTCTCTCTCTTTCTCTTTCTCTTCTTCTTCTTTTACCTTCTCTATTTTTCTCGAACAAGATGATCATCTCATCTTCCTTTGTTTTCTTCATGACACATTATCCATGAAAACTTTGAGACAAATTCGAGGTTCAAACCTTTTGTCTCTCCTTTCTCATCCTCATCATCATCTTACAAAATCTTTCACCTTATGCTATGATATTTTCCTTTCATCTCATTGACATTTAATAACAATTACACGTTATCAGAAAATCTTGATGACCATCACTAGAAGAAAAGTGGACAAGAAAATGTGACATCAATTTTCAACCAACAAAATGGACAAAAAAAACTCCTGTTGTGGTTATAAAAAGCTACGCCTCTTTTGTTGATTCAATATTATATCGATATAAATATTGTCAGAACTTTGACTGAAAACAGGGGGAAAAGTTTAATAGAAGAAAAGTTCAATACTAAGCAAAGAGAGAAAAAAATAAACTGATTCGATCAATAAAATTGATACACTTATTGTCTATCATTTGATTGTTTATTCAATCGGGGGTAGATTCATGTTCAGTACAAATTCATGGTTACTTAATTTCTCGAGCATGAAATTGATGGACGAAAAAAATTAACAAATTGGAAACTTTCTCATCTCTTCTTACCAATTATTTAAATTATCTCATAATCACCATGTTCATCTTCATGTTTCACAATATTTCTTGATTGGTCATTTTCTCAAATTCGAGCTCCCTTATGGTCACTTGATATCTATTTGTTTTTTTCTTCCTTTTCCTTCTCATTCTATTATCTAGAACTCTGGTCAGTTCCATAGAGACTTTTGACTTCTCATCCTTTAGTTTATTTCTTCCTCTAAACAGAAACAAGCACATAAGAATATCATCTCGTCCAAACATTTCTCCTCTCAACTTCCTTAACACATTTATATATATATAAATATCTTCTGAGCCTGAGCACCGAAAATGATGAGGAAAATGTTCATCCATCTCAAGCTCATCATCTTAACATTTCCTTTGTTTAAACCCTGTATCTTATTACTTCCTGATTCCTATTTGACTTTTTACCCATGGAAAATATTATCCACCCAATTTATCGTACATCTATTAGTATATTTGCCATAGATATAATTTCATCTAATCTAGAGCATCATGATGTTGATTTTAAAACCTTTATCGAAATGGAAAAAAGTTCAATAATAATAATCTTTTTAACGAAATGTAAAAAAACCCAAGTAAATCTAAAATTCTGAGAACATATTTTACTCATCTGATCGATAAACTTTTCAATAATTATTATGATCAAAACATTGATTCCGTATTAGATCATGATCATCACTTTGAGCCAGAGAAAAATGCTCTAAATAATTCAATTCTTCCAGAAAATAACACTTATCAAAATTGATACACTTTTCTAAAGTTGACCTCATGGTAACCTTTTTGAATACCCTACTTACATATTGTTCATGCCAAACTTGAAAAGTTAGGTACAGAAAAATGAAAATGATATGATAAATGGTGAATACCCACAAACAACAGGGTGGGTGAATCGAAACACTGGACAATAGCTCGACTGCTACAGTATTTATATCTTAGTTTATTATTACAGAGTATTCATGACTATTTATTATTGTTATCAAATAATAATAATAATAAATACAATGTGTAACATTTCATTTATCCAACAATTTCCTGTATTTATATTCATATGCGATACCAGAAAATAATAATGATAATAATAGTTTTCGTCAGAATGATATTGGATATGTTTAATATATAAAAAGTTTGACCAAACGAGTTATTATTAAATCATTTGGTCAATAAGAAGATAAAAAAACATATGCTCTGAACTAAATGCTTTTCCATTCGGCTCATTTGTATTCATGGTAACATTTTCATTCTTGATATAGTAGATGGCCAATCATTCAATATACAAAAGGTTATTGTTTAATGATCCGATCAAAACTTTCCCCCTTAAAGGATATTAGTATATTCTGACGAACAGAATGTTAAATTATTTCGTCATGTATCAAAATAGATTCAGATTTCACAATCGAATCAATATTTATGGTGGAAAAAATAGCTTCGAGACTTCAAAAACATTCATTTTAGTGGAAAATTTTCTCTCTTGGTTTAAAGAGTTGGTTTATTAAACATTAATGCTCAGAACCATTTGTTATTCAGTTTTTTTTATTTTTCGATTCCTCTAAATTGGCCATTTACTTAGAATTTCAATTAATCGCTTTATTTATGTCCAGCTTTTGGTCGTCTAATGGATAACCGTTAAAGT